GTGTTGCTCGTCACCGCTGACGGAACAGGAACGACCATTCGAGTGACGCTGGTTGCTGCCGGCGAAATCAAGGATTGCTAGGCCGACGTTCGTCCGATGGGTGGTGAGAAATCGAGACAGTTGCCACTCGCGGTTGTTTCCGGTGGCGAATGAAACCCCCAGCTCCATCCGCCGCCGCTGTCTCACTCCTGTTTGCTCCGGTCATCGTCGCCACCCCGAAGGGGCTGTTGTGTTCGCTATCTCGCTGTTGCCGTTTCTTCCTTCTTCCACCGCCACTAGCCACCGTGAGAGGTGGCTGTTGGTGTAGTTTTGGGTGTGTATTCATGTGTTATCACTGTTCGACAGTTATGAGATTGTATGTGTGTTTTGTTTAGCCGGAATTCCCAAGAACAGCCACTGCCACCACCGTGAGGTGGTGGCTGCCGCCAAGCACTGCTACCGGCCACCATGGTGTGTGTGTGTGTGTGATTAGTTTAGTGTGTGTGTGTGTATGGTTAATTGAGATTAGCTTTGTAAAATGTAACTTGAATTTTGGATTAATGAAAAGAATCAAAACCACCACCGTAAGGTGGTGGCCGCCGCCGTAAGCCGCCATAGACCACCACTACCTGAGGTGGTAGTGGATGGTGCCCCACTAGCAAACCCTAATGGGCTTAGAGATTGGTGTTGGGCCTATTGGGCCATGTTTGGGTGGAAGACCCTAATTGTTAGCATTTGGGCCTTAGACTTATTGGACCCACTTTTGGGCTTTTGAGATTGGATTGTGTATTAAGCCCAATTTCTCCATATCATTGATCTAGTAGAGTAAAGGACTTAATGGATTAAGTCCTTAATGGGTTAAGTAAGAAACACTTAACCCTAATCGTCATTTTATGTGAAACCCTAATTTCACTTGGGCTTTGTGTTGGGCCATCCAAGAATAATTAAATGGACTAGAGTAATTAGTTGGGCTTTAGGGTAAGGCCCATATGAAGGATTGGGCCCAATTTGGAAAATTGGGCCATAGTTGGGGCCTAGATGGTTGTATGATATTGGGCCCTTAGAATGAGACATGTTGGACTGGATTGAACAATTGGGCCTTAAGGGAAGTCCATGTAGAGGTTTGGGCCCAATTTGGAAAATTGGGCCATATGTTGGGCTTTGATCCCTAGTTGACTTTGGGCCTATGGATTGGGCCTTGGGCTTTGGTAAGCCAAGCTAGGGGTAATGTTGTAATTATCCAAAGTATGTATTTATAGTATGTGTTAGAACCCAATTATTAATTGGGTGTTATTTTGGTGTTGACAGTTTGGGAATCTGTCATCTAGCAGCTCGGGTTGAGTCTGCGGGACTTCAGCAGTGTGGGGTTGAGTCTGCGGGACTTCAGCAGTGTGAGGTGAGTTTCCTTCCAGTAGGAACGGGTCTACGGCCACAATGCCGGTCCGTTTAGTTAGCAGTAGTTCCAGACTTCGGTCTGATGCAGTAGTTCAGTGTGCTTGATGTCTTTGTGATTCAAGCATGTTTTTGTGATATGAGTTCCAGACTTCGGTTCGATGCAGTATGCAGTATATGTGTTTATGCCAGTAGTTATGATTATGCTATGCTATGTTCAGTTAGTTCCGGACTTCGGTCCGATGCCGGGCGGGGCCCGATGTAGTGGGCGGGGCCCGATGTAGTGGGCGGGGCCCAAGCTAGTTCCGGACTTCGGTCCGATGCCGGGCGGGGCCCGATGTAGTGGGCGGGGCCCAAGCTAGTTCCGGACTTCGGTCCGATGCCGGGCGGGGCCCAAGCTAGTTCCGGATTTCGGTCCGATGCCGGGCGGGGCCCGATGCAGTGGGCGGGGCCCAGTATTTGCTTACATGTCATTGTATGGTATGTGGTAGTTTGGGGGAACTCACTAAGCTTTTTTGCTTACAATTTCAGTTTTTGGTTTCAGGTACTTTCGCAAGTAAGGGGAAGAGCTCGGGATGATGGCATGGCACACACCACAGCTTCAGTTTTATCCTGGGAGTTTTATTCAGATATTTTGATATGATTTATACAGTATTTGTTTTGACACTGTTACTTGACTTTTGAGTTACTCATTCTATGGTTCTTAGTATGTATGACATTCGATGATGTGATTTTTAGTAATATTAAAACAAAAATTTTTGGGTCGTATTTTGGGATGTTTCAAGTATGGAACGATTATACACAAATTACACATTTTATAATGATAATTACATGATTAGGAGGCTATCTAATATCTTTTGCCAAAAGTATTCAACAAGTACGTTCATATTAGAAAGGTCGTGAAGCTTGAGGGAATTGACACGTGGTGTTACCGGAGAGAGAGACGAGAGAAATATATATATATATATATATATATATATATATATATATATATATATATATATATATATATATCATACATACTTATAAATCTAGCATTTTTTCTTGAATCTCATGCATTTGAAACCCCCTTTTTTAACTTCCTCAAACCACATTCATTTGAAACCCCCTTTTTTAACTAATGCAACTCAAAAGTTTTCTTAATTATGATTTAACACTCAAAAGTTTTATAACTTATATTATGTTTAATTAGCATTTAGCGAAAAGTTTACTATAAAAATGTCAATCTTTTGTGTCTTTTGTGTTATATAAGATCTTACATATAAGAAGGATTTGAAGATATTGTGATTCAAAAGTTTTCATATAGTTGAAGCATTCACGATCCAAATATGATGATTTGAAGAAATGAGTTATGTTGCATCGATGGTAATTGTAATATGATTTTTTCTTTTAACCAAAACAAATGAAGCTTTTCTATTCTTTCTTTATATTCATTTTCTCATTTAATATTTATATGTGATTTGTGTGTATTACTCAATCTTGAATGTGACTCTCCAAACATCAATGTTTTGCTTGAAATATCTTTCTGATTCTTCTTTTTCAAGAAAAATATTTTGATTGCAGGTTAGTGAAGAATTGTCATCAAGTTTCTATGGTTGAATGGTGTTAAATGAAGAAAGAAGATTCATAAAATGGATATAGGTTTTTTTTGTTTGAGCAAAGTTGACGAATGATAGTTTTTTCTTTTGATTTAAATGTATGTTTATGTAACATCTTTATTTATATATTCAACCACCCAATGCTCTTATTTATTTGATTGTAGTTTTTTATTTTGATTATGTTTATTTTCTATTATTTTTTTGTTGGGTTATCCTACACAACATATTTAAAAGATAACATAATTTTGAACATTTGATATGTAATTATGATAGACTTATTGTGATATGTTCTTCATATGAAAGTACTTTATCCATATTACTACGATAAGAATTACATATGACATTTACGAATATATATATATATATATATATATATATATATATATATATATTATATGTGATTTGTTTAACATGTATATGCACCTATGTATGTTATAAATTTAAAATTAAATATCTTTATGTTTAATAATTGAAGGGATTAAAATGATGCATCAAAACCAATTATTTAGACGAATATAATAATAATAATAATAATAATAATAATAATAATAATAATACATTTTCAAGTACCGCATTCATTTGAAACTCACACTACAACTCAAGAGTTTTCTAATTTATGTATATTTATTAGTTACAACTCAATAGTTTTTAACTTATGGTTATTAATTAGTAATCACTAATAACTTTTTATTTTCCTTTCTTTTATAAGGTTGTAAAGTTTTGCTCATTAAAAATATTAATGTATTTGAAGAGATTTGTGATTTAAATATGAAGAGTTAATATAAATGTTATAATAGATGTTTTAGTGTTTTTATGTTATTAAAAGTTATAGTGTTTATTTTTCATATTTTTTATTATTCGGTATATATATATATATATATATATATATATATATATATATATATATATATATATATATATATATATATCTTTTTAATACAAATGTTATAATAGATGTTTTTCTATTTTTATGTTACTAAAAGTTGCAGTTCATATTTTTGTTCATACGTTTTGTTACCCGTTATATTATCATTCATTTGATATATAATTTACACAATTTTAAATGGTTTATAAAATTATCAAATAATTGTATATATCACAATGACTTAAAAATTAAACTATAATGTTTAATAAAACTAATATGTTAACTATATGTTTGCTTTACTACTAACATTTTGTTTCAAAGTAGAAATATTAAATAATAATTTGGTAAAAGTTATTATTTTAACTATATAATTCTATTCTCGCGCAACGCGCGGGGATTCACCTAGTATATATATATATAGAAAGAAGAGAGAGAGAGAGAGAGAGAGAGAGAGAGAGAGAGATGATGCGAGTGGTAGTAACCATGGGTGAGAGAAAACCGTCAGTAACATGAGTCAACTTCAACATAATAATGAGCAAAATCATAAGCACCAGATCAAATGGACAAATTCTTAAGTAAGAACCATCTTTCACGAATCTTCCTATTAAGACCTTTTTTTTAGTAGATAATGGGGTACTAATAGACTTGCAGGTTGTACTCCATGTACTCAAGTAATCAAGCAAGTTATTTGTTAATCTCCATGATACATGTTTGTTGTGAGTCTCATAGTTGTATTTCATGCATGTATAGTCCTCAAGTAAGTTGTTTTTTTACACTTTGTTGTCTGCTGCTGCTATTTGATAAATGCAGGAACATATAGTTATTAAATAAAATGATTTTTTTTCTCTAGTTTTCAAAATTTGATACAGGAAGATATATTTAAAAATATTGTTTAGTTTTTGAATTTTGATAAGGGTTCGAGTATATGTATTTTTATTTTGCATAACATGAAATTGATCAGGGTCCGAATAACCTGAACCCGATCGGGTTGACCCGGTTAGCACCCCACCGATGTCTTTTAATATACTTTTGCATCTTATTCGTTTTTTTATTTATTAATTTAAGGTGTATTATTGAAAAGAGACATCTACATGCGATTGGGATGACCATAGAATGTCGGAGGTTGGATATACTTAGAGAAGCAATTTTAGATAGTAAACACATCCATGCTACTCTATCATATTGCATGGATGTATGTCATGAATTTGTGGGTAGGAGAGAATATCAGAATGAGGTAATATGCACATGATATTAAATATTGGTTTTTAGTTTTTTTAACAAAGTTTGGTTATTTGTTCACTTCATAGACATATAAAATTTGTGCATATTCTACATCTTCTTCTTGAGCTTTATCGGGATACGGAGCCTCAAGATTCGTTTGCTATATGTCGGTTACTTATGTTTTTGGGAGAGCCAGATGATGTTTCTACCCTCTTAGAAACACATTTATGATCAGAAAGCCGTGATGATGCAATGATTGGGTATCAACTTGCTTTTGATGTTGTAGAGATTAAGAATGAGAGTTTTTGTCGCGTATGCGTGATCGGCTCCTGGATCACAATGTAGTAGGTGAGGAGATATATGTTGAAAGGCATGCAAAAATCAAAATGATTTTTTTTATAATTATGGAATAGTTTTTGTTAACAAACAGGGCGGATCCATACATCATCAATAGAAAAGTCCGGTCAGTGGCCATGAAAAGCCGTGCTTGCCAGGATGCAAGCATCTATGCGCATGCATTAATGCATACATGTACTTCTTTGGATGGCTATTTAGTACAAAATCAGGTAGATAGTGTTATGTACATAACAATAACATACATGGTTTGCATGATGAATTAATTTCACCAAAAGATTGTTGTTGTTGCTATTGTTATGTTAGGAATAGGTGGGGATGGCAAAAAGGTGGGCAGAATTCAGCGCAATTGCTGGGCTTAGTGTCATTTATAAGGGCAACTCAGAGAAAGTACAATCTTTAATGGACAGAGCTGGTAGCGATTTGGTTGGGCCTCCTTATGTCCAAGGTGGTGCCCTATATGCTCTCGGGTTTCTTAACGCGAATGATGATGGAAAAACCAAAGGATTCATAATGGATATCCTTAAAGAATCAGAGATCGAGGTTGGTATTTTCCATCACTACTTGCAACAAATCAAAATAAAACCTTATGCTAAACCTTGTTTGGTATAGGTTGTCTGGGATGGAGCTTGTCTTGGTTTAGACTTGGTAGCTCTAGGAAGTGCTGATGATGATACATATGATGAGATATTGGGTGTTGCCTCCTGTGTAATTGTAGGCGGTGATGGTACCGGTGTTGTTGATTCAGGGCTGGTTGCCGACATCAGTCTTGGATTGGTAAATGCTGGAATTTTAAGTGAGAGGACATACGAGATGGTTGCGCATGCACGTGAAACACAATATGAAAAGCAGATAAGGTGAGTTATGATAACACTATAATTACTAACTTCATTTTGTCCTTTTGATATTGTTAACATTAAATTATTTGTGCGTATAGGGGTTTGGCACTGGGTGCTTCCCTTACAGTGTATGGAAGAGAAGAAGAAGTCGGGGAATTAGTTGATATAATGATCCGTGATGGAGATCCGATAATAAGATGCAGGGGCATCTATGCATTGGCATTAGCATACAGTGGGACAACAAATAAAAAGGCAATCCAACAACTTCTGCATTTTGCTATTTCAGACGCGAGTGATGATGTTAGAAGGACTGCAGTGTTAGCCCTCGGGTTTGTCCTCTGCTCTGAACCGGAACAGGTCTGTGTTCTTTCTCTTTCTATATACCACATTCCATGATTGCTGTGGTAGTTAGTAACTTTAATAATTACAGTAGACCACACACCTGATCTCGCCTTTTTCACAATCGTATGATCCCCACTTTCGATACGGGGCGGTTATGACCTTAGGGATTTCATGTTCTGGTACCTGCTCACACGATGCCATATCGGTGCTCCAAACCCTTCTATTTTGTTCGAAAAGCCGCATTCATAGGAATGTCCATGGTGATGATCCAAGCCACACAAGAGATGGACTCCCGCGTAGGGGAATTCAGGTAATGTTCTGCAACAAGGTCGATATTTAATCACTATGGCTGTAAGTAGTTTTTGATGTGGAGGATTTTTATCCAATGTTTTTCCTCTACACTTTGTTTGTAAACCTATCCGCATCATCCATAGGCCTTACATAAACAAAACATGTTTGTTTATTTTTTCTTTTTGTCAGAAATTTTCAAATAATGGTCCCATTTTGAGCTTATCTTACTTACATGGTATAGTTCTAATATATTAAGTTCATTAAGGTATAACCTAATTTCTTGGAAAATAGGAGAGTAAAACAAAGTTAAAGTTTTTAATCCTGTTAGATTCTTTATGGGTTGGTGGAGATAGGTTCTTATTTAAACTGATATTTTTAATAAAAAATTTCGACATATGTTTTTAGGCGGCAACTCGAGAGAGAGATTCTGAATGACAACAATGATACACTTGCAAAGATGGGTGCGATTCTGGCCTCCGTGTCATGGGATGACTCTTTTAGAGTAGTCAATACTTGTGCCACTTAGTGCTTTTCCGACTAAGTCAGGCTAACTTCGATGATCTAGATGTACTAAGGAACTTAGGAAGCAAGAGTCATGACAAGGAACACTTCAAGTATGAAGGAAAGGTTCTATTATATAACTCAACTTCTTTACAAGGCAACTTCTCGATGGTTTGGGAAAATGAGCCCTTCTCCCTATTTATAGGAACCTTACACCTCCTCAAGGGAAGTTTCTAGGTTCCGGACATTCCCGAGTATTTTAGATCATTCTTACAAGATCTTATTCTACATACAAAATTCTATAAGGTTCTATACTACTCTTTTGTGTCCTAGAGGATTCTATGATGGTTTAGGATCTTCCGTATCGTTCTAGCTTCCTCTAGTGCTCTCTTGATTATTCCAGATCGTTCCACCATGTTCTGCGGACACCTATAATTTTCTAGCGTCTTCTAGGGTCTCGTAGAGTATTCTTGATCTCTCCGGAGACTTCTCGAGGATACTTGATCGTTCCGGAGTTCTCCAGACGAACGTTGAATTGTCCAAAAACTCGATCCGTGACATCCGAAATCCTTGATGCCGGTGGCAGGAACTTAACAATTAAGCTGATGCACCTAAGCAACACTAAAGTGAGGATGGAGGCTATCATTGGTCTTGCTGTTTTCAACCACTTTTGGTACTGGAGTCCTCTGATTTACTTCATTACATTGGCCTTTTCCGCCACCACTTTAATTGGACTGGACTATAATTTAAATGTACCAAATTTTGTGTTCATATTGGATGCAAAACCTGCAATGTTTGATTACCCCAACCAACACTTATCCCCACCATTTTTTTTTTGGGGGGGGGGGGGGGAGGAAATTCTATCCTCTTGTTTATTTTTCATTATATGTTATATGGAAACAAAAATCGTTGGGGGGGGGGGGGAGAAAATTCTATCCCCTTGTTTATTTTTCATTTTATAGTTTTTTTTTAATGAAACAAAACATGCCCACATACAAAACAACAAACATAAAGAATTATATTTATTCTAAAATAGAATGATCAATTACATTTGTTCTGTTATTTTGTTGTTTTATCTCAAAAGAGTTTATCGTTTACTTTCAGGACTTGTATGATGTTGACACTCTGAATGGTGCCAAAGTGATTGTAAGTACCATTGTATTATAAAGGAGTAAGAACGACCATCACATGTCCAAAGAAATATAGCAGTTGTTGCGGTTCTTATTGTGAAGATTTTTTGGTAGTAGCATCACCATACCAGCTGTTTGGCTGAACCGAAGATAGGAGGCACGAGATGTGGCATAGATGTATGTAACACTTTACTGGTAAAGGTAATTATGCTTTGATTATGGCATGCCCGATTTTAGGTGTTGTGTGGATATATAGTGTTTGAATTCACTATTGTATAACTAACTATAGGGATGTCAAAAAGTCCCGTGGGGCCCTGTCCCGTTTGGAGGAAATTTTTTTAAAAAATCGCGGCGGGGACGGTGGCGGGGGCAAGGTTAACCCCCATTTTAATTTCGGGGGCGGGGGCGGGGGTAGGCAATCCCGTCCCGAAACCCCCATGGGGACCCCATTAATAATTTACACATATATTTACATATATTAATTATATAAATATAATAAACAATAACATGATTTTGAGCTTCCAAAATTTATCTAAAAAATGTTTTAAAGTTGTTAGTATAATGTTTTTAAAATGTCATAACTTTTTTATTTTTAAAATGTCAAATTCTGTTATAAATAATTATTTGTTACTTAAAAAATAACTTCTTTTAGCATAAATAACAACTTCTTTTAGCAAAAAAAAAGCAGACCAAAATCAATCGGGGGCAGGGGAACGGGGACGGGGGCGGGGGTAATAAAGGGGATTCGGGGGCGGAGGCGGGGGTAGGAAGGCTGAACATTTCGGGGGCGGGGGCGGGGACGGGGGAACGGGGAAATTTTGGGGGCGGGGGCGGGGGATTCACTCCCCGTCCCGTTTGCCCCCGTTGACATCCCTAACTAACTAGGTTAAGTCTTCGTCCAACTATTTTTTTTTTAAATTCCATCAGGGCATAAAGATGAAAATGGGTTTACAGATTTTTGGCTTTCATGTAAGAAATAACAACATACTTTCAGCTTCTTTCCTGATTCTTATTAATGTATGTTCATGTTTTGCATAGTTTCTATGTTGCATTGGTTTTTGAACATATAGTTTCTATGTTGCATTGGTTTTTGAACATCTACTATATCAGCTGTAATCACAAAATTATATAATATAATGAAGTCGCCAACTTTCCAACCAGAACTTCTTACCCATGCGAAGCATGGATTTCCTACTAGTTTAACATATATAATCGGAAATTGTTGAACGCCAAAAAATAATTTATCAACTTATTACATCTAATAACCAAATAAGTTAATTTAAATATATTTTTTAAAATTTTATTTTGATACCGATTAAACTAATAGAAATTTTAGAAAAAAACATAAGTTAATTCAACCGAAAACCTTTTCATTTTACCACAAACTTTATTTATAAAGAGATCTAATCTACAAGGCAAAGATAACACGTAATGGTTATTATCTAGTAAAAAGGTGGAGTATCTTTGTTAAACACTATAAGGTGTTTTATTATGAAAATAAGTGAAAAAGTCTAATATTAAGTTAAGACTATTTCAATATCCATCACAAAATTTTCTTGTTTATTTTGTAACAATCTCATCATCATTAATGCTTCGTATTCCTTTTATCAACAACTTTGATCAAACGATTAAATATGGTGATGATCGTGTTGGAAATCATATTTATTTCATGAATAGTTTTGTCGAGTTGTAACGATTTTGATAATTAACTTAATGCATTATGCATTATAATTCTTTTTTATGCTAATATCGTGCATGGTCATAAGTTAGATTTGCTTATGTCAATTTATCATGGTCACCTGTCGACGATGAGTATAGATAACTCTGCCATGTCACCGACCATCTAAAAGTCAATTTATTCACAAAAATCACACGTTAGATAATTGTTGTTACTTTTAGATTTCAATTACTCTTTTGAATTTTTCTCGTTCCACGGCTATTCCCCACAAATCAGTTCTTCAATTCAAAAAACACGACTTAATTTAAACCTTAATACAATTGAATCTTGGGTGTTAGATTTTTTATTTCAAAAATATTTTTATAAAGTCAATTATGATGGATGCATTACATTAGTATAAATTGGATGGTAAACCCATAACTTATCTTCATAACCTACAAAGTTGAAAAATCTAATCCAAAAATATGGAAACAACCCAAAATACTGGAGCTACATTTTCCCTTTTCCAAAATCTTGTACATAGTAATGATTTCCAACAGGATTTCGTTTGGGGTGCTGCTACTTCTGCATATCAGGCATGTTTCGACTTTATAATATATTTTTTTATGTTTTAATTATAGGACGTTATTCCAACATCCACGATAACATTTTGTTCAAAACTGAAGATACCTATTAATGCGAAAACATGATGTGTCTTATCTTTCATAACTTATAACTTAATATACTAGTTAGTTTTTCTACATATATACCTTGATTATAGGAATGATTTGATTATACGAATGACTCAATATTCTGATTTGTTTTTAGTCCAAATTTCTTGATTCATTATTAAAGGGTTAAAACTATTTTTAGAAAATATATTAAAGGGTTTAAACTATATTTAGAAAATATATTGTCAAATATTAAAGGGTTTAAACTATTTTTAGAAAATATATTGTTAGAAATGTCTTCAACCGACCAAAAAACCAAAAATAAATGCTATAAAAAGGTAATGAATTCTTAGTTTTTGTATTTCCACATGCTTTACCCATGTTACCTTAATTACATAACAAGTCATATTTTATTTTTACATATTTGGAAAATGTTTTAAATTTTGTTACGAATACAGTCTAATTTTTTTTATGTATAAATTCGATTCGAAATTAGTTTTGTTTTAATATTTTATATTTTTTTACAATATCTTTAAACCTTTTTATATAGTTTTTTTCTACAATTTCTTTTTACAGTTTTTACTACATTTAGAAATTCTTTTGTTCAAAAAAAGTTATAAATACCCAAAAAAAGTTCAAAATAATTGTAAAAGAAGTTCTAATCGTTGTATAAATTTTTTTTTATATATAAAGCAAGTTTATAACTATCTTTGTAAAAAGGTATAAAGAAAGTTATGAAAATATTTATAAAAACTTAAAAAAAAACTACGAAAAAGTTTATAAAAGGTTATATAAAAAAACCAAGTTTTTAAAAAGTTTTAAAAATGTCTTAAACAGATCTAAAAAAGGTTTTAAAAGTTATAAAAAATAAATTTGTAAAAATAATAATAATAATAATAATAATAATAATAATAATAATAATTTTAAGGTGATTCTTTTTTTTTTTTTCAAAAAATTAGGATCATATATATTCTAACAAAAAATTAAGTTTGGATCAAATTCTTAACAAAATCTAAAACTTTGGCTAAAAAAGCAATATTGTAATATGACATTTCTATACATTGGTATAACATGTACACAGGAAATAAAA